ACAAAACATCCGGGCAAAACAGCTCTTGGCCCAAATAATTTTTGCATTTCGAAAAGCAGGGTACAAATTTTACACATAGGCAAATATCACTTCCACCACAAGCGATGATGTCTGGATGTTTAGGAAAGCTTCCCCCATTTGGAATTAACTGTTCGGCTTCAATTTCAAGGGGAATTTTGAAATTGCTGCGAAATATGAATTATATATGCTGCGAATTAAAATTAATTTCGCCAATCATGTTCTACCCAGATTATTCAGGGTAGTACCTCTGCCTTGCGAAAAACCGAGCATTTTTGCGAACATGCGGCGCCCTCAACTTGTTGAATTTTTCACAACTGTGTCGCACTATTGGTAAATGTCATTTATGTATAAAGGGTTTGTCTTTCAAAAGAACGTGGTCTAAAAAATAATCTGGGTTGAACATGGTTTGCGTCACCATTGTTACTAAATTTGTTTTATATTTGTTGTTTATCGTGCGAGTAATTTTGACGCGAAAGTTTATATTGCAATGTGCAGATAAGTATTTATCTAGTTTTATAGATTTTAGATTTAGAATTTTTTTTGTCGAATTTTGTACTCAATTTTGTCCATTAATCAATTTGAAGTAAAGAGTGTATGATAAGCTTATGGTTTTGCAATGTTGCATGTACTGTTCATTAGGTACAGCGTCCTGCATTGCCCAATTGAACCGGATGCCGTTCATACGGGGAAATGTAATTATATGCATTTGTTGCAGTTGCAACTAATGTAAATTGATTGGAGCTGGACCCTCTGTTGGGGTGGGTTACTAATATTTAACAGTGAGTATTGAAAGAAAATCGTACATAAGGTGATTATAAATAGTAGTACTTATCATACATACATATGTAAATGTGCACAACTGAAGTTGCTTGCCACCTACTTTTACATGTTTGTGAATTGGCTTGGAAAAATATTTTATGCATGCAGATGATCCAGATTATTCGCTATTTACAAAGTTTTGCATTTAATAGCTGCAATTAGAAGTTTTAAAACCATGACGCTGACAAAGTAAAAAACTATAAAAGCCGACTGAAGGCATACTTAAATATTTACCAGAGCTAAATTTTTCCACAACGAAGTAAAGGTTTACAAGTATCTATGTCGCTGTAAAAATTAATTCATAATTAAGTTCATAATCAAGTTTATATTTATGTAGATGTAATGGGGGTTCGTCTTCTCCTGTTAAATTTGTACGTGCTGCAATTCCCAGTATGCAGCTTATCTGACGGTATATCCTCACTTATTCCGGATTGTTCACCGCATCATTACATTTTCAAAACGGGAAACACTATCGTTAAAACGTCCTCATTAATAAGTGAGAATAATCTCCCAATCACAATATCATTAACCGATTTAGAGCATAATATGACCACTACCCGTCACTAAGTGCAATATCTGTACTACAATCCCCTCCGAGATGGAACACATTTCCGAAAAAAATTGTGCTGGTTTCTTATCACACATCTCGATCTAAACCCGGCAGATTTTCGTTCAACCTTACTCCATTTTTCTGAATGGGTTAGAATAACTGTACAAACATTCTTTTCTTACATGTATGAAACACGATGGAGTTTACAACTTGCAGAATTTCGAAATCCAGAAAATATTTACACAGTTTTGGCCATTGCAAACATATTTAGCGATGAAGATAAGGCGAAAATTTTCACCTTGTTGCGAAACCGGCTACCGGAAATGGGCGTGGTGTTTACGACTCAAGGTGAAATTTGTTGGGTGTTAGACGGACAGGGTTTCCGGTGCCGGTGTACCGAGGAAGATTTGAATTTAGCGGTTGTTCTACGTAATATAGCGCCGCCAAAGGAATGGTATTACGAACGAAAGGACTTGATACAATATAGTGAAAAGGAGATGTTCTTAAAATTTGGGCTGAAGGAAAAAAATGTCTTTGCAGTGGTAGAAATCTTGGATTACATCGTTTACGCGATAACACGGAAGGATAATGTGACTTTGCATAATCTCAGTGGGAAGACCCGGAAGACGTCTTTTGTTAAAGATCGAAATGGACATGTGTGCAATGTAAAACGAAATGATAGGATTTGTCCAATCCCGAGAATTAGGTATGTTTGCAAAGTAAACGTGGCATCACAATTTCTTGTACTACCCATTTTCCGACTTGGTACTACTGATTTTTATCACGACGGCGTGGTAACAAATTTAAGCAAACAAAATATTTCAGGTTCCAGAAGACGTATCCGTTGGAGGTCAATTTGGCAAACCCGGTTATGACTGTAATACTGACGGGATTTTCGTCATATAACTTTTTGACATGTTTCTCTGAAGTGGGGGTCAGTTTTTCCTTCTACTCAGCACCCTTCCAAACATCGGTTTGGATCGCGGTAATTGGTGGATTCTTTGCTGTAGCGATGTTGACGGATTTGTACGTTCGATGCATTTTACCAGAGATAAGGTACCAAATTGAATATGAAGTACCTTAAGGTACAGAGTTCGGATTAGAAGAAACTAAATTTTTTAAGGATTTAGTTGAAGTTTGAAATTTTCACTTTGATTTCACAAATATTTGGAATTAATCCACAAATTAAATTAAAATTTACCAATTTATTGATTTGAAGGATCCACCTATACTTTTTCTACGTCGGGTCTATCCTCAACCAATACCCGCCTGTTCCCGCCGCACTTCAGGATTCCAACCCGTTTCGTATAGGTTTCGGGGTTTGGGCGATCTGTTCCACAGTTTTGGTCCAGTGCTATATCGGACTAGCAATTACCAGTTTGAATTCCCCGCTTGAGAAAAACATCCCAAATAGTTTTTCAGAAATTTCTTGCTCTGCGAAGATTCCTGTGTATCGTTACGAAAATAATGGAAGCGAAATATCCGCTGGAGACATGATTAAGGCGAAGTACCAGATTTTGTGGCATTTTCACGTGAAACAGGTCAAATCTAGGAATTTTTCAAATATACCGCCAACCTGTTTCAGCCTACTTTCAGCGCCAATCACGACCAATGTTATGTTTCCCAAGTGCTTACAGTTTTACACGATAGAGAATATATTTAGAAGTTTTATGACGGCACCCAACGAAAATCCGGATTGGGTAAAGGAAGCCTTGTTTTACATGATGGATAAGAAGAAACGATTCTATCCGATAGGATATGAAAATTATGTGGGTAAGGATTTCAGAAGTTGTTTTAATATTGTGTTGAGAATAGAATTGGGAAAAATGAGACTCGCTTCAAAATTTCAGTCTATAACGATAAAAACTTTTTATCGAATTGCCTCATCGATGTATTTTTTTGTAATTTTTATCCAATACTATTAAATGGATAATTATACAAATATACCGTTCAGGCAATATTAATGGTCTAAATTCCTTGTAAAATTTTCTGAAAGGTTATTTGGTCTTTGGGAAAATAACATAAACTAATCTTCCAGGAAATCTTTCAGATTTTTTTAGAACATTAACATCGACTGAACAGTAGATATGATTCATACAAAATTTATAAGATATTGTACTTTTTTACAGGAAGTCCGTACAAGAAACTACCCGACACTGAGGTAAATTCCGGCGTAGAAGAGGAGATCGTAACCTGCGGTAAATCCGTGCTAATAGGCGAAAAAGCAAACGTACTCGAGCATATGGACTATTTTAAGAGAAATTATCCCTGGATTAAATTTAACATGGTTTCTAAGCAAGCTTCCATCCCGGGTAAGCCATTTGGTTGGGAATTTGAAACCAGCCGCCATTCCTCTATAGTGAATAGGCTCGTTTTTCTCCTGGAATCTGGAATCTACGACAAGTTGAATGAGTACCTGGCACGAAACGAGTTTAAAAAAAGGTTCAAAGGAACGCAAGTCATACTCAAGAAGAAAATACTTTTGGAGGCGAAAGATCGAATTGGGGGAGTGAAACTGAGCGAAGGTATTCAAACGGTGTTTATTATCTGGACGGCATTAATTTTATTGAGCGGGATATGCTTTCTGGGGGAAACGGGAACTCTGAACATGTCATTGGGGAAACTTGAGCAGATTGATTTTTAAGGGTGTTGATCCGGTTGTTTAAAAACGGGTTATCTTCTAGAATGGGAGATGCCAGATGAGTATTGTATATTTTAATTTTTCGAAATATATGCTGAGTGACTTGAAATCCATTTCAAAATCTACGTACCCCTTATTATTATTATTTATTAAGGGGTGAAAACCCCTTTATGGAAATGTCTTGTCCGTCTGTCCGTCCGTCCGTCCGTCTGTCCGTCTGTATCCACGATAACTTTAGAATGGTTTCGTATTTCGGCATGCGGTTTTCGTCAACGTGTTTCTAATTTTTGAAGTATGGATGAGTTCGAAGATGGGCTTTGTAGGTCGTAAGGTCACGGCGCCACGGTGATGACGCCAACGGTCAAAGGTGTCGAATTTTTCGTTTCCACCATTTTAGACATATTTTTGGATGGGGATTTCAGAAATCGCCATCATTTCGACGTGCGATGACCGTGTGACCGTGTAGACGACGCCAAAGTCGAAAGTTGTCGACTTTTTTGTTTCCGCCGTTTTAGACGTATTTTTTGGCGGGGATTTTAGAAATCGTCATCATTTCGACGTGCGACGACCCCATGACCGTGTGGGAGGTGTCGAATGTCGAAAAATGACTTTTGTCATGTGGGGTGTCTATTGAAAGGTATTGTCGTGTGCGTTTGAAGTACGCGGGTGTGGGTGTCAAAACGGGGCAAAATGAGACGTGGGGTAATGTGAGACAATGACGGGAAAGTGCAGAAAGACGTTGTGGGCGTGCCACAAAGACAATTCCGTGTGTTTTCACCCCTTTGCTACATTTCGTTTGCAACGGTTTATTAATCAAGCGCTTGCTTCTTTATGAAGCTAAATATGCCTGATACTTATTACAAAAAATTCTATTTTTGATGGTCACATGAAAATGGACTTAAAAAAATGGCATCAACTAGACTTTAGTTGGATGCATGCAAAAATCCGCGACAAAATAAACAGTTTTTTTCATATACTTAAAATTTGTTTTATTTCCTGAATTTCAATTACAATACTAAATTTTTCAAATAAATTAAAACCTGCTTAAATAATTGGATGCCCATGAACTGCCAATAAATATTTGCAACATATTTTGTTACAACTCGTCCTTCTCATCCTCAAAAAAATCGTTAGGGTCAAACTCTTTTGTGGTCACATATTTCTCTCTGACCGCCTCTAACATCATTTTGTGTACCTCTTTCCTACTCATGTGGGACAGAAGTGGGTGGTCGAGTGGGTCAATGGATGCGATGCAAGAATTTACTACGTCCAATATATTCTCATTCTTATTGTTACTCCCCTTCGTGACCATGTCACCGTCAAAGACATAGCAGTCACAAACTGGATGATGTTTCTTGATATATTGCATTTGAATATTTTCCGCCTTCCCGCCAACTATGCATGCTCGCCAATATGGCAATGCCCCGTTGACAAGGTTAGCCCCCCAATTTTTATTTTTATTTTCCTTCTCCCGATAGAATTTGTTGGTGGGTTTCTTTACATTGTAGAGTGTGACGTTAATTATGTTATCCGGCGTGACTAAGTGGGTCACTGCACCCTTGTCAAATGTCTCGTGTGGCGGGTTGTTCAAAATTTTGTCGATTGTGCGCAATGGGTCTCGAATGATGGTGGGGAATTTAGAGGAGGCTTCCTCAATGGGGGCAAATATGACCGAGGTGGAGTCAGATTTTGATTTTGAGGTGTGCATGAGGATCGTTGAGTAGCAAGAGGAGATGATTTTCTGGATAAAGATTGAGGTCCAAAATTGTTTTGGAAGGTAGAGAGCGTCCAAACAGGTCAGACTAGGGTTAAGATTCGACTAAAAGAGGATAAAATATTTTTAAATTACGCCAAACATGACAAATTTGTAGCATGATTGAAACCATGTGCATTTAAAGGATTTGTAGCCAGTTCTTGGTCAACTGATCAGGAGGTTGTACTGTGCATTGGAAAAAATTGAGACACACAAATCTACGAGGTTATTTGGCAAATTAACGGATTTCGATTTTAACCTTTTAGAAAAGTTGTAGGACATTTGCTTCCATTTTTTACGATCAGTCAGTCATGAGAATTTTGTTTGGTTCAAAATTTTAGAGGTGATTAATTAAAGAGGTGATATTAAAGAGGTGATAGTTATTATTACTGATCTGCAAAAATTCTTGCAATACTAAATATTTTTTATGTACCAAATTTTTAAATAAATAGTTTGTCTGTAGTAAATTACCGAAACGTCTTTAATGTATGGAAGGGACATGCTTGGGTAGAAACTCGTGTCCGTAAACTTGATGAGCAAGGTGGCGCTTAAACTGTCGGGGTTAAGGTCATCGATGGACTTGATTTCGAAAATGTGATCACCATAAGTGATCCGAGAGGTTAGGAGAAGAAGGCTCAAAATGGTAAAATGAAAAATGGACCCCATTGTATTTCACTGCTTATTATCCTTGTAGTCTTAAAATAGTGCTAAATTTGTAAAATTTATGGGAAGAATACTCCAAGAATCACGATGCTAAATAAAAAACGTACGTGATCTTGACTAACGACATGCTTATGTAATATGAGTCAGGATACAATTTATCAGAATTGATCTCCCAAATAACATCAATTCCATTATCCATTTCCTGTTTGAATGAAATCACGTTATAATGTGGTGCATACCTGCTTATTGTTCAGACATGAGTAGCTACATATGTATATACATATATGTACATATGACTTTAGTTGATGCATGTACAATGATTGTAGATAGATATTTAAAAAAACGTTCACAACCAGACTTAAATAATTATCTATGTACGTACATACATTCGTAAGTAAATACATACATAATGCATATGATGTTGATTTTAGATAAGAAATTCACCAACACGTTAACCTTCGTCGTACATACGTATGTACATGCGGAAAATAAGCATACAGTTTAATTATATAATTAATTGACATTCTGTATCTATTAACTATGTCCAAAAAAATGCAACTATACTTAAATTAAATACCAAGCTTATATGTATATAGATATACATATATAAAATATTAATATAAATATTAATGATGTAGTAGAATTATTATTACGGGTCATGTCCTTTGCATAAATCTTTCTATGCCCCTTTTTGCCGATACATGTTTTCCATGTTGAATAAACTCTGTTTTGTTGCAACAGCGTCAAAATATGCAAATGAGGTGACTAGCCTGTAATATTCTACAATACTTTGTATAATATGCAAAATTTATGAACTCTTCCTCATGGCCAACACCGATCTAAACGTGCCTCGAACTACTCCCTGCACAAACTTTAGGACAGTCATGGGAGTAATCCTCAAATACCCAAGGTATCCAATGTACAGTGGTTTGCAGCTCTTCCTAAATTTCGCCATATATTTTCTATCCTTCCCACTCCTCCAATGAATTTGCACTCCCGTTTTCCATGACAAAATGCACTTTACTGATTCCTTCTGTAATTTAGCGGCGACAGATATCACGCTAATCCAGACCACTACCATGCCAAACATTGCGAGAAATAATGCCGTTCTCTTGGAATCCCCACCCACGCCGGCCATAATTATTTGATAGCCCGCGGAAATAGCGAGGTGTCCAAAAATAGAGTGCATCAACGGCAATAACGGACCAGTCGTGAGGGACAAGAGCTTATCGAGTAGTTGTAACGATCTGTAAGCATGTCCCAAATTCTGAGGGAGCTGCCTAAGTTCGTTGGAACAACGATATTGGCGGGCAGGGATTTTTGCAAATAAACAGAGTTCATCTCTCAGCAAGGGTACGATGAGAATCATGTATGCCGAAAAAATTTGAATTAGAAATTTTACAACGTTTGTGCAATAGAGTAAAGAGTACATTGCGGTTGGGGCGTAAATTATGAAAGTAATTGTATAGAGGATAGAATCCCTTGGTAAATAATTTGGCAATTGCATTTCGTGCTGGGGGAAAATGATCTTATAGCCGAAAACTAGAAGCGGGAAGAAATTAAGCATCGCGCTTGACCACTTCATAATTGGCAGCCATGTCGAGTTAAAAGTTGATGCGGCTTTGGAACCCTTGAAGGACCACCAGGTTTCTAAAGAGCGAATTAATTTTTCAAATAGGTCATATTTACTGCTTTTTAGAATTTTTGATATGCAAATTTCCACCACTTGCCATTAAATTTCTGCGTGAACAAAACCCCCGAATTGAAAAAATCCCGTATTTCCTTGCACTTAAAAGTGATTATTGAAATGGTGAACACGCCAGTGGCTGATGAGAAGAAGGCGGTCAAGAATAACGTGCTGTTGGCGAAGTCTCCTAGTTTTTTGTACTTTATGGTCTGTACGAAATGCGACAATGTAAAAGCCGAAAGATATAAATGTGCGAAACTTGCGATGATATGCAAAGAGGGCGAAAAACGTAATTTTTTCTCCTTCGCATTCCAGATCAGAGGGAAACTGAAGACGTTTGCGGAATTAATTGTTGCCCCAAATTTTGTGTAGAATGTTTCGGTAAACATGATGTTTAAGCCTAAATTTTAAAAAAATAAAAACGCGTAGCACTAGGAACAATGTTTTTGGGCAAATAAATTAAGTAGATTTGTAGATATGTAGGTCACCTTAGGTAATTATTGTCTAAATATAGATTTTTTATTCAGGTCACATTTGTATAATTTTTATTGCAAAAATTACTTAATGAGGGGTATTTATAGTTAATATATAAGTCAGTTCACGAATTGTGACGCAATTCGTTCAATGTCGTTAGATTAATTTTTGCAATAAAGTAATCGTCCAAATTACATAAAATTCGACAATTTGTAATAAATTATGAACAATTTAAACATAGAAATAATATTTCAGATGGATTAAATGGACGTGTTTCGAATGTCATTTAAGATACAAAACATTAGCGAAATAAAAAACAACGTAAAATTACAAAAGTCTTCCACGACACTCTGGCGACCCACATTGGCAAAGAAGTACTTTATCGGGTATACTTCCAACTTCATATGCATAGTCCCAAGTTAATTCTGATCCGGCACGGATGTGCTTACTGGCAAAAAACGTAATCCAAGGAAATCGGAGATCATGTGTATCCACGAATACATTTTGTACGAAAATATTTGGTTCACAAGAGTGCTAAAAAGAATTAAAGAGGGCAATAGTTAATTTTCATTTGTAAGGAATATCATATGTCGAATATGTTCATATGTAAATACGTTGAAATATCGTCCAATGTTTCCTGTAGTTTTAGCATCCATAATATAGCATTCATCATGTTCTCCAAAGTATTCACGAAGTGGGCGACGAACTTTGGTTTTCGGAGGGGTAATGACAGGACCACTTTCTGAAGATACATAATTCAAAATTTCAAGAAACACTTGAAAAAAGTATGGATTATAAAATAAAACGTTTACTATTTTTGGAATTTCCAGCACCGGATGAGGTTTTCTTCGCATTATTCTTTCCTCTCGTGTTAAAGGGCCTCTCTATTATAAAGAAATATGCATAAATATGTATTTATTAGTCGAATTACTAAATACTACAGCAGACAATTACAGTATGTAACAAAAGTATAGCTACGATGACATATTTTTTATCTCGACATGATGCCGTAATATTTCAACTTTGAAGCTCCGTACGAAAATGTCAAAACTATCTGCCGACAATTTCCTCGTCGCCGATTTTTAATTTCGCCGATAGGTCAAAGGTCAGGATTATTTTCCTGAAATAATTTGAGGCGTCAAAAAAAAAAACTTCGTGGATAATTTTTTTTGAAACTTGCAATATTTTTTACTGGATACGGCATGCGTTTTGAAGAATAATGAGCTTTGTTTGGACCGTGTACGATTTTTTTGACGCCCACAGGAATTTTTCGCCAAAAAGAGGTTGAAGGTCTAAAATCGCCGCCTTGGCGAAAATTCAAAAACTGAAATATACGTTTGCGTATCCGGACCCTCTATATGCAAACGTATATTTCAGTTTTTGAATTTTCGCCAAGGCGGCGATTTTAGACCTTCAACCTCTTTTTGGCGAAAAATTCCTGTGGGCGTCAAAAAAATCGCACACGGTCCAAACAAAGCTCATTATTCTTCAAAATGCATGCCGTATCCAGTAAAAAATATTGCAAGTTTCAAAAAAAATTATCCACGAAGTTTTTTTTTCGACGCCTCAAATTTTTGTAGAAAAATAATCCTGACCTTTGACCTATCTGCGACATTAAAAATCGGCGACGAGGAAATTGTCGGTAGATAGTTTTGACATTTTTGTACGGAGTTTCAAAGTTGAAGTATTACGGCATCATGTCGAGATAAAAAATATGTCATCGTAGCTATACTTTTGTTACATACTGTATACCTTTCCTCGTCTTAATTTTTTTCTTAGGATGCGCTACAGGTTCGTCAGCTTCAATGTCGGTAACTTCTGACTCGTAGTCTTCCTTAAGCTTTTCAATGTGTTCAATGTAGTCTAACGATGCAAGATACTCGTCCCCAAATTGTTGTCCATCGTCATTAGCGGCATCCTCGGTTAACACTTGACCAGCATAAATGCAAATAAACGCACCTTCAGGCACGTCAAAGATAGGTCGGATTCCCCAGCCTTTTGCCGCTGTGAGAACATGAATGACAAAATTATTTAGTAATCCATTTGACTATTCATTTCAAGTTATACAGGTTAGTGCGTCATCGTCACAGATGTTTAATCTCACTGTAAATGTATCTTACTATTCATGAAATCAATGTCATTTTAAGAAATTTGCATTAAAGATATTAAATACTCAGGAGAAGAGTGTGATTAAAAACCTATGACGCATCAACGCGTCATAGCATCCTGTAGCAACTATACCTGTCTTGAACAGTTGGAGTGGTACTTTGAGTCCATTTTGTGCCACTCGGTTGCAACACGTTTTAGCACATTTGCACCTGGACAAAACATATTGTGTGTATCAAGCTGGTACTGTGCATTTTTACGCCCATCAATTCCCCGTCACCGATTTCCCCCCATCGATTCTCACCCCACAAGTTCCCCGCTTTATCAATTCCCCGCCATCAATTCCCCGTTATCAAATTCTCACCCGTCTCATGAAATGGCAACAATGCACCAAAACTGACGCTACCAAAACCATTCACTTTAAAAGCTGATATGATAAAACGATCAAGCATGAATATTATCTGCTCCTTTAAAAAAATTTATGGCTGGAGGGACCCTATGGGGTGACCCCCACCGATTTTCGAAAATCTTCATATCGAGCTGAAATTTGGCACAGAGGATGTAAATGGGTTCTAATAGAAGATAATGAATTAAAATTAGAAAATCTTCATCCGGAAGGACCCTATGAGGTGACTGCCACCGATTTTCAAAAATTAATATGAAAAACTGAATTTGAAACAGAGATCCCCAGTACTTTCTTATAAAATATTTTGAAATTAATTATGAAAAAAAGTAATCAAAAGGGCACTAGGTGGTGACCATAGTTAAGGAGATGGACAAGAGCAGTAAATTGTTTTATAATTTGGTGCTTAATAGTGCTAATGAAGAATTGACGTTAGTTAATTCAAGAATTAGTGAACAACAGTAGCATTGGGCATAATTTTATGGAAACTAGTGACAAACATGGTTTTACAATCCTTTGCTCATCCCTGGTTCGGGCTAAGCAAAGCTGTACTGATAGGTTTTTTAAATAAAGAATTAAAAGTTTACTTGGAAGAAGTTGTTCACTACCTGGATGGTAAGGTACTCCTGCCTTGTCTTGTCGCTTCTCTCGCTTATCCAAAATCAAACTAAATGTAGAAACTGCTACCTTTTTTTACTCTCTGGTTCATTCATTATTTGTACTTGTACATATCTACATGTACACAAAGTCATAGCTGACCAATATTGTAGGATGTTTTTTTAAAGGAGCAGATAATATTCATGCTTGATCGTTTTATCATATCAGCTTTTAAAGTGAATGGTTTTGGTAGCGTCAGTTTTGGTGCATTGTTGCCATTTCATGAGACGGGTGAGAATTTGATAACGGGGAATTGATAAAGCGGGGAACTTGTGGGGTGAGAATCGATGGGGGGGAATTGATGACGGGGAATGGATGGCGGGGAATTGACACCGAATCATCAAGCTAACTTCCGATTTCATAGAGAATTACTTCAACCTACCTTTGATTACATTCATAAATTCCACTGAAGACGTTATTCTTTAATCGTCTGTATTCATATCCTGTAATTGGATTTTCGGGGGTGTTAAACTTCGAAAACGAGATTCCAGAATGTGTCATTTGCCAGCAGCTACACTTAGTCGCATCCTGTTATAATTTATATTAAATGAGACTGAAAAATTTATATAATTTGTATTTTTTCTTAGATGAGGCCATAGTTACTATATGGAAAAAAATCATATAAGTAAGCATTCACTACAGGTTTGAAAAGCTTAATTTTTTCAGATCTCCGTCAATTTCCAACCGATTGTAATGAAATTTTGGCCAGAGTTAATTACGGCTACATCGAGTAGAGCCCTGATTTGGCCGCCTGAAGCATCCAACGGTTTATGAGGTATTCAATAGAAACCCAACCAATAGTGTGTTTTTGGAGATTAGAAAAAAAATAAGGCATGTATGAAAAAAGTACACGGATAAAAAGTTGATACATATTTTCTATAAAAATACAAAATTAAAATAGACAAAATCGGTTTAAAAGTGAGAAAGTTTTGATGGTGGTGAAATGTAACCACTCCCACCACCGCCCAAAGTTGAGTTGCTAAGGTCGACCCAGCGACTTCTCAATTCAGAACCAATTTAGTATCTAGGTGATGCTTGGGGTCTCTTAAAGAGTAGGTCATTAGTAATATGGTTGGTGGTCACATAAATTACTCTTCAATACGAATAAAAACTAATAAATAAAAGAAACCCAAAAAAGGAAAGCGTAGATGAGACTAAGAAGTGCGACAAAAAGTTTTTAATAAATTTCTTCTCCAGTGAAGGACATAGAATTTTAATATTTCCAGCATCAACGCCCCATTTCATTCACTACGACGTACATACAAATATACAATAACTATCAAATTTGAAATATAACGCAGAGAGAAATATTAAAATCATTTGTGAATTTTTCTTGTCACTAAAAAATTATGAATGCTTACAAATATACTGAAAGTTGATACATGATATACAGGTGTAGCCTAACATGGTCTACTTTTAATAATATGTACATATATGCATACATGTTGCTTATGTACAGACATTTGAGTAAATTCTTAAATGAAATGGGGGCGCTGATGCTGGAAATATTAAAATTCTATGTCCTTCACTGGAGAAGAAATTTATTAAAAACTTTTTATCGCACTTCTTAGTCTCATCTAAGCTTTCCTTTTTTGGGTTTCTTTTATTACTCTTTAAGTTTTCTTGTATGCACTTACCCGACAGTCATCTTCACAGTCACATCCTACCAAAAACTCTTCGTCGTTGTTGAAATTCACACCTGAACCTGCTACTCGTTGACTTAAATATTCCACATACGGGGGAAACTCGTGGTCAAATGCGTTCACAAGTTGTACAGGAACAGGTTCCTTTCCGTACGTCAAATCCTTAAATTGAGTGCAAATTAAAATTACAAAGTCAATTTGTTTATAACATAACTGAAAATTAGCTTCTAACGGGTAGAAAACTGTGCTGGCGCGAATGACGAAATTCATTAAGGCAGTCCTCAGCCAAATCGAAGCAAAAATGATCAATCTGAATTTGACACTTTGTTTGAGTGAGATAGTCATACATTTCCTCCATATCATGTAATCGAAGTCCACAAGGTCCTCGGTAATAAATTGACCGGTAAGGACTTTCTGCAATTTCTCTGCGTCAAGATCACATTTGTTAAATTAAACACATAAAAATGCATGAAAGTGGTGTACCTTGTAAATCCGAAGTGTAATGGCAGCGTAAGCGGGCCAATTTTCTTGTATTCTGGATTGGAATCGTCATACTCGTAGACACAAGAATGGTCACATACGTGAGGACTGTACTCCTTTGTCAATGGCGCATCAGAAGGTATTGCTCTTTTCTGTATGTACACGTTTAAGAAAAATTATTACATTTTTATCAATTAAATAATTTAAACTTCTGTCATAATTATTTTGGAACATGTGTAAATGAACAGTTAAAAGCATTTACGGCAATTGTTCCTTCGAATTCGCCGTAATCGAATCGAGTCAAACGTTTGATATCACCGTGTTGCTTTTCTAATGCAGACGCTGAAGTCCCTGGGGTTGGCTCTGTTCGCTTCTTTCTTCCATGTGAAGGAACCCAATCGTCGCCATCTTTACTTTGTTGATAACTTTCGTGCTAAACGAAATACAAATTTATGCAATTAGCTCATTATTATTCTTTAATCTAGGAAACAAGAATATTGTGTCTTACATAAGTTAAAGCACTCGTAGATTGTCGCGCAATTTTCCTTTGTCTTTGTCTCGTGTATTTTTCAAACAGTGGTGAAAAGCGAGTGCATCCACGATAAATCCATTCCCATCTTCCATCATTTTCAAAATGCATCTTCGCCAAGGAGCAATCAAGTTCAGTGACTCGCGCAACCCACCATTTCCCGTTCCACTCGGTACTGATAACTTGGCCCAGCGTCAAACGAACCTTAACATAAAATGTAGCTACCCTAAGCTAATAAAACGAGCTTTTATGTATTAATGAGACCATACCATTGGACGTTCAGGATACTTCCTGAGGTAATTTTTGATAAATTCTGCCGAATCAGGGTGCACATCGCTCCAAACTTCTTTGGAATATTTGTGTATTAGCAGAATATCGTTAATCCCGACATATTGAGCGCATCCGTCATCAAAGAATATCAAATATCTGAATGTAAAATGATTTAGATAAACTTTACTACGTATTATGATTTCGCGAACATGCTACCTAAACTTATTTCGTGGTGTAGGCTGTTCAGCAACGATTCCAGCGTAATGTCCATCTGGTCCGTGTGGTTTCTCTTTCAGATCTTCACGAAATTTAGCAATGACTCGAGTCCCCACAATTAGCATGAAGGGACACGGAATGTCATATGCAATTTGTTTAGCAGTCAGTTGCTTCAGTCGTCCATCTCCTCGTACAAATCTCACGAGAAACTCCTGAGAAAAAAAATAAATCTGTAATCAATCTTGGTCAAATTAAGTGTAAAAGTAAATTTTGATAATTACAGATTTGCCAGCTCCGACATCAAGAATTTCTTCAATTGTAGCTCTGGCCCAGTAATGGAGGAGGGTACGCTTCTGAGCATACACGCTGCCACCAATTAGCGGTACCAGTCTTGGAACGTCCTTTAGTGGACGAGTTAAGGGACAGGTCAACTTTTGAGGAGATCCTTCACCAGGGACCACTTCGACGATCTAATGTAATTTATATATTTAACTTTACATATTTAGAAATAAAGCTCAGTACAAAAAATTCCGCAGAAATATTGATTTTAGGAACGAAACTTACATCGTCATCGTCCGAGTGACTATTCTCTTTCTCCGCTGATGAGCCGTTAAGATTACTTTCTGCTATAATTTGAAATTAGAAGGTTTCCAAAAATACGGTTCCCCTAATCTTAACACTAAACATACCACTTTCTGGAGAAGGAGTTGGTTGAAAGTCTGGAGGGGCATCATCAAAATTTAGAAAGTCATTCACATTCTGTAACATCGATTCCAGAAGAGTTTCCGTGACACTTAGGTCAAGCTCTACAGCTATGACCGGCTACACAATAAAAAATCCATAAATGTATTAATTTTATATAAAATATGTATATCGAATAAATAGTAATAGTACACTAACCAAAGGCTGTTCATATCCGGCCACTTTATTATAAATCTTTTTTGTTTCTGCAATGTGCCCCTCAACAAGCGAAACTTGTTCTTTCAGATTGCAATACTCCTCCTCTTTACAAGTATGAACAAAATATTTTTAGACTGCTGAATATTTCAATACTTAAACAAATTATATTTTCACACACCTAAATTTTCGAATTCCATTGTCGTAGTTTCTTCGCATTTAGCTATTTGAGATGCAAGATCCAGTTTTGTCATGACCTCTCCAATTAAATTGTCTACGCTCGTTGACAACTCCAAAATTTCATTATTATCAGTCTCCAATCTTTGAATTTCGGCAGGGTTGTTATCGTCCTCTTCGTCATCTACATACATACATATGATTTCATGAAGAGTAAATAAGTTAAATTACATATTTCATTTTATATATCAGATCAGATCATAAAACAAAAAATATCAATTAACGATCAATTTAATCAATAAAAATTGCGTACCTTTAATTTCGATGACATCTACCTCCATTCCTTCAGGCTTAGTTTTGAATGCAAAAATATTTTCATCATTCTTCAAAGCATTTACGGAATTCTGAAATAGTACATTTTTCAATAAATATTGACAACTTATTAAAAATATGAAAAAATACTAGACATAATTACTAAATAATTGGTTCTACGTATTGTGCATACCTGCATAAATGTTTCTGCATCCTCGTCACAAGTCTTACAAATTTTGTGCACTTTTTTATGCGACATGTCAAATCGGTAGTACAGAATTGCGGCTTCCTTTGCAATAACCAATTCATCCGAATTTGACTTGCAATTTGCATTGTTACACTCATTTACCATTTCCATCTTCGCAACGTCTGTTGAACAAGAGTAAAATTAGTGTTGTAATAATTAACGAGAACCTTTAATTAGCAGTAGCTTTCAAGATGTTCGTCTCGCGAATCTCGCAAAGTATTTTTTCCCTTGCCTTTTATAAGTTGTCGTATTTGAGAGCCAGAAAGAGTTGTAAAGAAACTAATTTAGAATCAATAAATCAAAATTACCAATTACAAGATATTTAAGCAAATGGAAATTGAACATTATTCAGTATTCATTCATTGTTCGCAGCAAAAGTTATGTCAACAAAGAATGACGAACAGTCGAGAAACTGACTGCTCGTATTCCCGCAATGTCTGGCGTAGTCTCAACTTATGTAATTTGCACATCGATCTCTCTAATTTGTAATTTTTTTATTAATTATAATTTGTACTTAAATATTTTCCTGTTGTGTCGATTTTGCGGTTGACTGTGTACGTAGTACGCATGCAAAGTGTACATATGTACATAGGGATGCGGATCAAACCAATTTGGAATTATTTAATTTATTAGTACATATAAGTTATGAACAATGATAATGTTTGCATGACACCCATAGTGAATCACTATTTGTGATCATTCATGATATATGTTATCGATTAAGAAAATACGATGTGAAATAATCTTGCGAAATAAAATAAACTCGCAATGTCTAATAAATTGCGTTTTTTTTTCTCATGATGATGGTACGATTCATACAAATGTAAGAAATTAAGGGTCCAGAATTTTAATTCACTACATTTTATTTACTACGGTTCTGTACCAGAAAACTAATCTACTGATTCACAACTACTTCTCGACTACATTTCACATGAAATGTCTGCACATAAATATGTACACTTTTTAATAATTCATGGCTCGTTAAATCCATCCTTACCGTCACAGTTCTTCTCATTTTCGATCTTCACGATGTCATCAAACTTAATCTCTTGCACACCTTTCTTACCAACGTCAATTGGTGCCTTCTCCTTCACGAGCTTGCAAGTGGGAAGAGACTTATTGGGCCACCCCCACTTTGTGGACCTCACCAATCGCCACGATTTGGTGGTCACGTCGCAAAACATTTTTCCCTGTGGAGATACATATTAATTCACAAACTAAATTAATATTAATTCATCAGAGTTTGGTTATTTCATCCAATTAATCAATAAATTATGCAAAATTATATGAAATCGATAAAATATTTTGGTAATTCATCCGCCTTACAATCAGTGCACTATTCTGGTACAAGGACGACGCCATTTCGATACAAATTGCCAGAATGAGAAGGACCGCGATTGCTTTGACCACGAATAGGCCAACCTTGCCTAAAAATTAGGAAAAACTCATGACTTTTAGTTTAAATCCAAATTTAGATTAAAATGTAATACATATTTCAAAAATTTTCTTATTACAAAACATATTCCATGGATCCAAGTAATCCTGGACATCGTACCCTTTCGAGGCTAAGAAGCAGAGCATAAGGATCCCAAAAAAGTACAGTATCATCAGAAACATGCTGCAAGCGGCGGTGACCATGAACTTAATAAATGTGTTGACAAATTAGGTACCTATTTAGTATAAATTAATTAAGAAAGTTAAATAATTTTCTCACGCATTCCATGCAAGCAGAGATGCATATGCCAGCAGTCGCTATGCACTCGTTGACAGGTTCGGGTGTTTGAGAAGATGGATCGGATTTAGGATTTTTAGCAGGTGGTCCAGGTTTGGGATTCTTAGAGGCTTGGTCGGATTTGGGGTTTTTAGGAGCTGGATCAGATTTCAAATTTTTTGGAGTTGGGTCAGATTTTGAATTTTTCGGGGCTGGGTCAGATTTCGAAGTTTTTGGAGCTGGGTCAGATTTGGGATTTTTAGGAGCTAGGTTAGATTTGGTATTTTTAATATCAATTTCGACTTTTTGCGTCATTTTTGGAATAAAATTATGCAATTTATTGGAATGATTGGACTTCAAACTGATAGGAATTTGTGTTATGAAACAATTAAAATTTCTGAGAAGGAAATTTAGTTTCAAATTCAAAGTTCAATGATAAAAATTGTGTCCCCTGGTTTATGTATGTGTGTGGTCACGAGTGCGAAGGTGACTAATGATTCGTAATTAAAGGAAGGTGTGTGAGACGAGGAAAACCTACGTGGCTTTCTTTTACGGGAAGAAATCCGAATGTTCGGTTTTATATGCATTTGCGTCATTGGCTTTTGTTTACTGCATTTAAACGGCAACAAATAATCTTTGTCTCATGTTTCGATTGATGCCACTATGGAGACCGTGCTTGGTATACAAATGAAACCTGCGATTTTTATGCAGGATATTGTACAGAGCATGGGCCATCCTTACGTAGAAATTTTCATCAATTTTTCTAACCTACATATGACTTTTTTTCGGACAATTAACTTGCTCCATGTGATGCCCCTTGTTCTTGGCTACAAGTCCACAGCGCTTTTTCGTTGATGAAAACACTTGCTGACACTTTTAATGGCTTATTTTTAGCCACTCGTCCTTAAAACGTTTCCAAAGCCTATTTAAAGTCGTAGCTAATTTGTGTATTTTCTCCGCGACGCACAACAAATTGACCTTCTCCCGTTACGGTCATCTACCCTGGACTAAGCTTCGTCGATTGTGATCACAGATTCGTCACTACCTCCAGCAAGGTGGTTCTCATACAGCTTTTTTTGCAAAAAAGTGACAATTAGCGATGTGACGCTGGTTCAACGCCTGCAGTTTTGTCTTCGTCCGTTTGATTTTGTCCCAATCTCTTCTAATGACCTTAGGAATACTAGCAGGATTCGATTTTAGTAGTTTCGCCATACTGCGTATGCTCATTGGCATTTCCTGGTCGATCAAACGGTTGAGCTTGGTTTTTAGCTTTTTCGACCGATTTACTAGGGGGCCGTTTATAGTGTGAGGAGGCAGTCCCTGATTAATGGCTCGTCTTCCAACACCTCCTATATTTATTATTCTATAAATTGACGCCGAAGAAATTTCATTCCCACGTGCATTCAGCCTTTTTCATCACATTTCCGATGAAATTCTGACTGGAAAACTTTTTGAGTGTACCTCTACTTAAAATAGTCATGGAGGGGCCATTTTTAAGAACTTCGAGTAGAAAAAAATCAGAGACTTATCTAATTGGTTTGTCTACCAAACAGTGTAGGCCGGGTTTGTTTAAGTTGTACCAGTTTTTTCGCGCGAGCGTTTGAAAATTTCTACGTAAGGATGGCCCATGCTCTGTATTTACATATGTACATACATACATTCATGCTGCAAAATTTCAATTGAAAAATCAGCAAGTTATAGTCAGTCGTCTAAACTAATATGTAAGATAATGCATTTTCTATTAATGAAAACCCGTGATCATAGAAAATGTAGTAATATGTAAATTCATCCTTTAACCTCTTTCGAACTACAGATTCTTAAACAAAATTAAAATTTTATTCATAGATTTCTTTAGTTAATCAAAATATGTAGGTTCAGAGATTCGCCATATAAATACACAAATAAAACGACACGACGGATACATAAGTTGTCACTAGGGCTAAAAAAAGCAGACGGAAACTAAAGAAATGAGTACATACATTATGTCAAACTTGGCATCGTACGACAATCGACAGAGTTCCTTAATTGAGTTTATTAAGGATTTTGTTATCGGTACACGTCAATGGATTTCCCAAACGAATGTATGTAGATATAGAGACAAATTGATACTGGTGGACTTGTACACCAATTTGTAATTCTTGTGCTCTGAACAAGTCATAACTTGATCTGTTAATGAAGCTACAACATACTTGTAGGAATAACGTTGAGTCAGATAACCTAGCTTATCAGGCGATGGCGATAACGAAACAAACAATATATTTATAAGCCGACTTGGCACGTGTGCATACATTATAAGCCAATATTTTCCTGACGCTAAAGTAAAATGCAGCTGATTGCAATTTTGTCCTTTTTTGTGATTTCTGCATGCCTTCCGGATTCGCAAGGTGAGTTTGCAGATTTTGAAAATCTACAAAGCTCCACGAACGAACCCACCTCGGAATTTACTGATGAGCCTACGACGGAAGATCCCTGTACTCCAACTGGATCAACGGACTGGCTGACGTCGTCTACGACCCGTTGGGATGAAGGAGACATTGCGAATAATTTTGGTATGGAGTACCCATTAAAAATGCCAATTTTTGACCGATTTTCTCATGGAATCGATTAGCATACCAGAACTTGAATTTTTTTACTGTATAAATTGTCAGGGACGCAATGTGGTGAAACTCTGACTGGATCTGAGGGGACAATTTCGTACAAAAGCGAGGAATTTTTTGACACATACGAAAGATGTTTATGGATCGTTCGAGCTCACGGCAAGAGAGAGATTGCGTTTAACTTATCCAACCATTCCCTCGGAACGGAGGGGGTCGTTCATATAGCGACGTTTTGGAAACATACGCCACCATATTTTCGAACGTATATTTTGTAAGAGATTTCTGTATTTGTCATAATCAAAAGCTTATTTAATTGCGAAAAATTGCAATAATTAGCGTCGTCACAACGTCTTATTTAGGATCTCAAATTTTCGAAGCTCAAAGCATTTATGTATGTTGTATGTCTTGAGGGGTCATTTACATTTTTTTGGGAAACAGTATTTTATTTTATTTCAGGAAACCCGGAACTACAAACGTTACGATGTTCGGAAACGTTGCCGTCGTAATGTTCGCTTCCACTAGTGCAAACGGAAATGGAAAGGGTTTTATGTTAGATTGGATCGGAATGGGAGATTCAGCCGACGTTTCGGATCTTTCCCGGGATTATATTTCTTCCGCAGATTGGGAAATTAATGGTGGGGGGAATGTGACACATCCTGACAACTTGCCATGTGAGATGTACAATGACGACGAGCTGTCCGTCTTTGTCGTCGCCACGCCAGACTTTAAGTTCGTTCGAGATCGTTTTGTGAGATACAAGTGGCAATCGTACGGGATGGATAATTGTTACGATTGGGTGTGGGCGTACGACTTTAACTATTTTCAAGGGTGGAGAGCTAGGGTGAGGTAAATAAATAGGCCACGTATTTATATCAGAGGTCGAAGCCGACAAATTTTGCGGCGACGGCGGCCAATTTTTGTGATTTTTCGGCAGTGTCGGCGCTCCAATGTTGAAGGAATAGGATACCAGATTTTTTTGTGCGTAAAATGCTGTCGGCGGCGTCAACCTCTGATTTTTAAATACATGTTATGTACATACATCTCGTATAATTTTAATGAAATACGTATCCGGTTTAAGTAGGCAATTTTGCGTCGACGTCGACCTGTGATTTTTTAATTAGTGATACGAGATTTTTCGTGATTAAATTAAACCTTGCACTGAATAATGTAATTTTCATACGAGTTATGTAATGGTGATTTCTGCAAAACTGTTGTAATATTGCAGGTACTGTGACCTTGAAGGAATTGATGGGGAGTTTGTCTTTGGCGAAAATGTGTTGTACGTGTTCTCCTCCAATTATGTCCGGGTTGGGGGTGGATTTTCACTCTCGTGGCAACTTCCAGCGGAGAATGGGGATATGTCCAAATCTGAAAATTTGTAGTAAAAAATATGTAACTTAAAAATAAAATTGATGGAAAAAATAGTTGCGATTTATTGTGTACGTATGTATCTATTTATTTATTTAGAAATCTTAGTATTTATGTAAATGTACGAAAATTTACATGCGCACGTACATAAATATATATCAGACGGTCCGATTCAGACTACGACGTCAAACAGAGTACCACATGCGTATGTAAATATGTACATGACAACTTTTAGTCATTAATTAAACCCAATTAAGTAAACACCTAAAAACAGTTAACGGAAATTGACAAGTCAGATAAGCAGAGTGTAAAGGGTAATTAATTCGTGATGAGATGGAAAAATAATGAATGGAAAAATATCCATTGACAAATTATTACCCCATCTGAACATTATCATTCAGATAAGTTCATACATTAAATATTTATTATCATCAGAGTGACGTGCAGACTTAACAATGAATAAATTCTCAATTTGTATTTTCACAAGCCGAGCAATATGCGTATCGTATTTCGTCACGATGTCCAATGTCACGTAGACACCGGATGGCAAAGAGTTGATAAAATGGATTGTCTGCGATAAAAAATTGACACAGCTCATAAAGGAATCGAGTTACATTTTTTAAATTAAAAAATATATTTGCATATGTATATCAAAGTTTCCTAGAAAATAAGAATTATGCGGGTTATTAAATTTGTCGTCGTTATCGCGTCTCTCAGCGTAGTAGTTGCCCGACCATCCTTGAAGGACGGAAAACGTCTGATTAAAACTAGTGAGACGGACGCAGGATTCTGGCTGACAAAGGATGAGATTTTTAGTCTGATCAAACAGGGAATTAATTTTGTTGATGTGACTGAAAGCAAATTTCCGAACGGCGTTAACACAACAATTTCAGGGCAAGGTATAGCTTAATTATTGTTGCGAGTCACCTCATTTGCATAAATCTAACTATGCCCATTTTCGGTTTGACCACTCTACATATGTCTGTCGCTAATGTGTCAAAAATCGGCAAATGAGGTGACCAGCCGGAAAAATTCTGGAGTATATATGAACTTTTTAAGTACAAGGATATCATTTTATTAAGGCGAAGATTTTTTAATTTTCAGAAATTCCGAGTAGCTTGAGGTATCAAAACGTTGTTCACAATGCTTTCGAAAATATCGATATTTTGAGAATGCAAACTTTTGTCGACCGTTTCGACAACTTTCCCAACCGATACTTCAATAATCAGAATGGCGTCGATGCGGCCGACTGGGTCGAAAGGATGGTTAAGATTGCGATAACAGATGGTGCATACGGCGGAAAAGTAACGGTGGAAAAGTTCACTCACAGTTGGCCACAGAGTAGTATTATCGCAAGGATTGAGGGTAAGTAAGTTCGTCGAAACGCATAATTAATATGTATGTCGGGGTATAAAATAAGTCCTATTAATTAATCATTAAAAACTGCTTGTACATATGTACGAAAATTGTATTCTCAAATATTCTCAATCAGCGAAATGCATACAAAACAACCAGTAAATATTTAATTAGCGTAATTTTATGAAAATTCTTTATTTGTGAACTGGAGGACTTCTCGCCCCACAGACTTTGAATTATTGAAGTTCTTATGTAAATTATGTTTGGAAATTAAACTCGAAAACGATTTTTAGGTGCGGATCCCGTATTGAAGGAAGAGGTCGTCATCTTTGGAGCGCATTTTGACTCCATCAATTCAGCAGATCCGGTTGATGGTATCGCGCCAGGGTCGGATGACAACGGAAGCGGAAGTGTCACCCTATTTGAATCCCTGCGAGTATTAATCGAGTCTGGGATCATTCCTAAGAGAACGATCGAGTTTCAATGGTAAATATAGTTTACCGACAAACTTCAATTATTTATTGGCGACTTCAGATTTTTAAAATTTTTCGGGCTATTAAAAACATTTGCGTAATGTAATCAGGTATGCGGCTGAAGAGGTAGGACTACGAGGATCCGGCGATATTGCGGAAGCATATTATATCCAAGGCGTCAAGGTTAATACACATTTTAACAAAAATTTCTAGGTTTTGAAATTAAGTGCAGTTGATTGGATTTTTAAAACAAGCTGAAATCATTAAATTCTGAACGTAATGAATTATTTCATCGTCCCGCATGCTCTAGAAATTATCCAGCTAATCACCTCAATTGTCAATTGCAAATTTTTGCGCATTATTGGGAGACTTAACCAATGGAAATTGGCACTGAGATTTATCCAAATGAGGTGCCCCGCAATAATAATTTTACTATGCATAGGTTGTAGCAATGGTGAATTATGACGTCGTTGGATACCGCGCAGGCGCGACCCAGATCGGTCTCCTTACGGACAACACGTCCCCAACGTTGACCGCCCTCCTCCGTCTCGTAATCGATAAGTATTGTACAATTCCGTGGATTAACCATCAGTGTGGGTACGGTTGTTCGGACCACGCCTCATTCACCCGCCATGGCTTTCCCGCCGCTTCTCCGTCAGAGTACCCCATGAATCCAAATATGCATAAGGAAATTGACACGGCGGAAAAAATGAGTTTCGAACAACTCGCAGAATTTGTGAAATTAACGGTTGGAACAGCCGTAGAAATTGCGGAGGTACAAGAAACATAAATTTGTCTAAATGTTGTGCAGCGTCGAATTAAATAAGCGATTTTATAAAATGAAACACTGATTAAAAAATAAATCTTAAGTGAAAAATACGAGTAAAATATTTCTTTAATGAGCATTTATTAATTTCGAAAATGAAAGAAGTAGAAATTGCATAGAAATTGCATTAACATGAATGACTGGAAAAGGATAATCATGATGCATTCTTTCAGTATACTGAATAATTACGGACTTGCGGTTAATGAATATTACTAAATGCGTAAGGATAAAGACTCAACAACTTAATTACAATTTCAGTGTTCTCTCATCTCTACGTGGTAGAATTTCTTATTACGATTGTCGACTTTATCCTTTTTCTTAGTGAGGCAAATACCGGACAACGAAAAAAAATTTTCGTAATAGAGTTTAAAATATTATTTTGTATAAACGAGATTTGTAACTTGTGAAGTACCTAATTAATAATAAGTTTTAAATTGAAGAATAGTAAAATTGTCGGAATTTTAATTTGTATTAACGTAAAATTAAGAAGTACTTGGGTGTGAATTTCAGAGGTTGGGAGAATACATGAAACGGAAAATACAAAATACAATATAAGACACCTCAAGTTTATAAATACATACCTACATACAGTCAATGGAAAAAGTATTGGCAACCCCCACGCCAGCTAAATACAATTGGCTGTAACGTTGGAATGCATTATACAATTGGCATGAAAATTTGTAGGCCTTTAGCAAATATAATGTAGTTTTCGATTATAGTCATGTTTTATTGATTAAAACTAGATAAGCACAGTTTTTAAATAATTTGTTGGAAAATTTGCAAAATTAACCCGCAAAAAGTATTGGCAACATGTGGCCAAATTAATTACGCGAAACAACTTTCTTAATCAGCTACCACATTTCATTACGGTAAGTTAATTAGGTGACCAAATATGACGTTAGCTACATTTTAAGTCTACAGTTGTGTTGTCTGGAGCCAAAATGGCGACACCAAACGAGCTGTATTGGCGCCGGGAGAAATAATCATGTCTCTTTCACAAAAAAGCTTTCTTATCGAAAATTCAAAGAGAAAACATACTTTTCCATATTTACTATTGAAAACGTAGCCAAGAAATACAAAATGGCAATCTCAGTTTCTACTTTTCCATGGTGCGAAAGGAAAAAGTCATCTACGCCCACGAGCCACTGATGCATCAAGCAAATTATCACTCGAGATCGGAAGATTTCAGCTCCCAAAACCATGTTGAATTTGAGAACCAACTGTGGGGTCAACATATCATGCAATATTGTGATCAATCAAAAATCATGCCATGGGGTTTCAGGGTCCAGAAGCTCGACTGACGCGAGGGTCCCCAAAACGAACCAACTCAATAAATTGGAATGGACTAAATACCACCCTGAATAGACTTCCAATGAATGAAAAATGTTCTGCTGGTCTGACATAAGCATATTTTGCTTATTCGGAGCCAATTGAATGGTTCAAGTCTGGCGGATGCCATAATAGGCTCACAAAAACGAATATGTTCCTATGACAGCTAAACACAGAAGAGGAGCGATTATGGTTTGGGGTTAAATGACTAGGTCGTGGCGTAGGTAGCTGGTCATTATCGATGGAATCCTGACCAATGAGGTCCAAATAATCATTCTAAACGATAATTTGAAATTATTTGATAAAAATCTGACCTATGAAGGAATTTTATATTCCGAAAATTCAGTGACCCCAAACATGTAGCCAATTTAACGATGCAAGGTTTTGGAGATCGAAAAGGTTAAGCTTCTTTCGTTGATTGCACAGTCTCCCGATGTGATTCTGATTGTCCGGATTCAGATTAAGTGTGGGCAGCCATATAGAAAAGCGTTATAACGAAACTTGTTGACTCAATTCTCCGACGTATTTTTGCTTGTATTGCGTCGAGGGGAGGTGCTACGTAATACTAGAAGCAGTTTGTCATAATAAAATTGGCGTTTCTTTGATTTATGATTTTTTAAGTTAAGGGTTGCCAATACTTTTTGCGGGTAAATTTTGCAAATTTTCCAACAAATTATTTAAAAACTGTGTTTATCTAATTTTAATTAATAAATCATGATTATAATCGAAAACTACATTATATTTGCTAAATGGGTACAAATTTCCATACCAATTGTATGATGCATTCCATGGTTATAGCCAATTTTATTTAGCTAGCGTGGGGGTTGCCAATACTTTTTCCATTGACTGTATATACAACATATATACAAAAAGACCGTAATACGCTACAGCTCCTCAAGCGGAGCTATCCAGTTTTTTTGCGATACTAGGTTATCGTATGTAAAAATATAACTTCGAATAAAGGAACTATTAACAAAGATGATGGGTCAACTGAAAAATTGTATGCCACAAATGCATCAGAGGTCAACGCCGCCGGTCGTACGCCGTCGCGCCGCCTGACGCCGGTAGCATTTTACCCGCCGGCGCCGAAGATAAATCAGATTTTCTATTTCTATAACATTGGGGCGCCGCGCCGCCCCTCCGAATCCGCCGGAAAATGATCCAAAATTAACGCCTCCTCTGCCACAAAAGTGGTCGGCGTTGACCTTTGAAATGGCTGCCGATATCTGGGGAAAACCAAACAGAAACTATTTATTTGTGTGTTTGGTATAGGGAGAAAGCCACATATAAACTTCCCGAGCACTACAATGTGTAAATATTTATCGGACCACGACGTCAAGCAGAGTTCCACAAGCGCACAGATATATGTATATAAATACATAAATATGTGTGTACATATGTACATAAATGACAACTTCTGGTCATTAATTAAACCAAATTAGGTATGTGAGTATTTATATATTTACAAGTTAACGAAAATTGACAAGTCAGATAAGTAGAGTGCAACATGTAATTAATTCGTGACGAGATTAATTGACAAATATACATCGACAAATTATGTATTACCCGATTTGAAAAAAAGATTCTGATAAGTGCATATTTACAGTGTTATCATCAATGACGTGCAGACTTAACAATTGAATACATAGATTCAATTCCCAAGGATTTTGGATTTCCCCAAATCGAATATGTTTATCATTTTTCGTCACGATGTCCAATATCACGAAGACATCGAATGGCAAGGGGTGAATAAAAGGGATAGTCTGCGAGGCAAAATTGCCACAACAGACAAAGCAATCGAGTTGGAGTTTTCAATTTACAAAAATTTTAACTAAAAATTTCTAAAAATTATGCGGGTTATTAAATTTGTCGTCGTTATCGCGTCTCTGAGCGTAGTAGTTGCCCGACCATCCTTGACGGAAGGGAAACGTCTGATTAAAACTAGCGAGACGGACGCAGGATCTTGGTTGGGGGAAGATGAGATTTTTGGTTTAATCAAAAACGGAATTAAATTTGTTAACGTAACCGAAAGCAAATTTCCGAACGGTGTTAACACAACAACTTTAGCGAAGGGTATGAGCTTGTGAAGTACAAGGTTATTACTTGTTAAGATGATAATAAGTATTATATTATTTTTATTTTTAGCAATTCCAGGAAGCTTGAGGTACCCGGATACTGTTCACAGTGCGTTCGAAAATATCTATATTTTAAGAATGCAGCTTTTTGTCGACCGTTTCGAACACTTTCCCAACCGATACTACAATAATCATAATGGCGTCGATGCCGCTGATTGGGTCGAGAAGATGGTCAAGATTTGCGATAGCGGATGATGCCTACGGTGGAAATGTGACGGTGGGAAAATTCACTCACAGATGGCTACAGAGCAGTATCATCGCAAGGATTGAGGGTAAGTACGTCAAAGGGCACTGAAATACGTACGAGATAACTAGTAATTATTTAATTATCCGAATTTTTTGCAATATTTTAATGGTCAAATTGTGCAAACTTCACTGCCCCACGGACTTTTAATACATAATCAAAATAATATAATTCCCTATACGTTTTAAAACTAGAGTCGAAAACGGTTTTCAGGTGCGGATCCCAAATTGAAGGAAGAGGTCGTCATCTTTGGAGCACATTTGGACTCCTTCAATTTAACCAATCCTGTGAATGGTAGAGCGCCAGGGTCAGATGACAACGGAAGCGGAAGCGTAACCCTATTCGAATCCCTGCGAGCAGGCAGCGCAACTATTGCGGTGCATCGAAGTCAACCGGATGGATTTGATTTGAATTTCGGCCCGCCTCCAATGTTAATCAAATGGGCACGTGATTTTGGCGCGTAGAAATTCTGTCCGGTTGACTTCGATCCACCGCAATAGCATACCATAAACTCCTCCCTGGATCCATTTATCTTTTTAGGGACACTCAAGAACGGATCCAAAATGTGAACATGTGCGATCGACTTGAAATTCAAAACTTAATAGTTTACTGACCTTAAAAATTTATGCAGACTATATTTTCATCGCCATGACCTTTTTTTCGACACCATATGACCTGACTGGGTAAAATTGGGTGATCGACTGATGATGAATTTTGGCCAATCAGGTTATATGGTGTCGAAAAAAGGTCATGGCGATGAAAATAAAATAGAAATAAATTTTTAAGGTCACAAAACCCTTAAATTTTGAATTTCAAGTCGATCACCCAATTTTACCCAGTCAGGTCATATGGTGTCGAAAAAAAGGTCATGGCGATGAAAATATAGTCTGCATAAATTTTTAAGGTCAGTAAACTATTAAGTTTTGAATTTCAAGTCGATCGCACATGTTCACATTTTGGATCCGTTCTTGAGTGTCCCTAAAAAGATAAATGGATCCAGGGAGGAGTTTATGGTATGCTAGTTGCGCTGCCTGCCTGCGAGTGTTAATCGAGTCTAGGATCGTTCCTAAGAGAACAGTCGAGTTCCAGTGGTAATTTATCGACAAATTTCAATTTAATTCGTGACGCCATCAGATTTTTAAAGGTTTTTGGGCTAAAACTTAATCAGGTATGCCGCTGAAGAGGTAGGACTTCTAGGATCCGGTGAAATTGCGCAAACATATTTTACTCAAGGGGTCAAGGTAAGTTACTTACTTAATAAGCAAAATGTTAAGCAATTTCATGATAACAATTTTAGTGAAAATTTCTAGTTTTCCAAAAAAAAAGTTAATTTATTTAGATAGTTGGTTGCTTTAAAAACACAATTTTGTTTTACATACATATATCATAAATTAGTATAGTTTTATAAATTTTATTGCACTCTAAACTTACTAAATTATTTATCGTCCCATTTACACAGGTTGTGGCAATGGTGAACTATGACGGCGTTGGCTATCACGCAGGCGCTAACCAGATCGGTCTCCTTACAGATCACACATCCACCACGCTGACCGCCCTCCTTCGCCTTTTGATCGAAAAGTATTGTGCATTCTCATGGATTAACCATCAGTGTGGGTACGGTTGTTCGGACCACGCCTCATTCACCCGCCACGGCTTTCCCGCCGCTTCTCCGTCAGAGTACCCCATGAATCCAAATATGCATAAGGAAATTGACACGGCGGAAAAAATGAGTTTCAAACAAATCGCAGAGTTTGTGAAATTAACGGTTGGAACAGCCGTAGAAATTGCGGAGGTACAAGAAGCATGAAAGTTTTCACTGCAGCATCGAATCAAATAATTTAATAGAATGGATTCGTTTAACTGATTAAGAAAGAAATCTTAGGTGAAAAACACGAATAAAATATTTAATGAGCATTTAACAAATTTTATTACTATTTATAATATTTATTTTGACGCGTAAAAATTGCACTAAATTGGCAAGAAAAGTATAAAATCCTGATATTCATGAGGCATTGTTTCAATAACAAATCGGGACTTGCTGTTGGGATATTATTAAATATGCATGAGGATGAAGATCCAACCGTGTTGTCTCACGTGGATAGAATTTCTAATTACGTTTGTCGACTTTATCATTTGTCGTAATATTAGAGTTGATAATTAAACACTGCTGGATATGATGGACGTATTTAAAGTTGCATGGACTTGTATTACTTACATCTTTATCTTTATCATGGTTTAAAATAGTATTTGGGTACATGAGATTTATCGATTCTTCAAATAATTAATAGATGAATTTTTGACAGAGTGCAAAGTGAAGATAAGCAAAATTGTCTAAATTTTAATTTTTTTTAAACTACTTAATAAGTAGGTGTGAATTTATTGTCTTTGTCCAGCGATCGAAAAAAAACTGCATGTTAACATAACATATGCATACGCAAATTCCTCGTTTAGCATGCAACACGGGTTTTAATGAAAATTTGCATACGTCCTTATAAATATTTTGACCTTGCTATGTACCAAGCTTAAATTGTCACATTTTAGGTAGAATAGTCGAGCTATAAAATATGTGCAGAAAAAATATCTTTGAGACACGGGATAAACTTGAGATCATGCTTGCATAAATATTTATCTAGTTGATTTTTCCTCTCTCAGGGTTCCAAACATACAAATTTGTGTGATATATTTGTGTTTTATTTGGTAAGGTATTATTATAAAATTGACAAACTCATTGTTCCTCATGTAAAATTTTACTAGGGATGATGCTTTTCTTGAGCTAGATAAATACATGGATGACTTTACAAAGATTTTAGGAAAACTGTTGAATACGAAATATAGAGTGATTATGTGAAATATTTGCATATCTATGTAAATATATATGTCTTACGACATATGCAAATCCTACATGCATATGTTCATGATTATAAATTTTATTCTTATTGAATGTTACAAATTTAAGCATTTGGTCACAATTGGAGTTCACCCATGAAGAACCGACATCATATTTATTGGATATTTTGTTAGGGAACTCGATATTTCTTAAGGGAAAGTTTGGTTAGGGAAGGCATTAACATTTTATTTGCATAATACTTAATTATTTAATCTTGCAATATTTCCATCAAATTAAAATAACATTTTATTCACAAGCATCGGGTGAATAAATCGTTCATAAGTTGTTTCCATAAAAGCTGCATATTATGTACGTTGTAATTCAGTCGGTCCTTCCCTAACATTTTATCCAAATAATATGCATCACTTGTACACAAAGAGAAAAAGTGCGCGATATACGACGCGCTCTGCCAGTCCACCTCACACTAGTAGGAATACAGTTGACCGAAATTTCGTTTCCTCGAGATGTTTTCAGTAGTCAAATTTAAAATTGACAGTAGTGTTCAAGTAGTTCCTTCATCCTGGCTGTCAATTGACAAAGGTCAATGTAAATGGCCACCAGGTCCTTGCAAGGACATAAGTGCACATATCCGGGCTGTGAAAAAACCGGGTGAAGATTGGCCTTTATTTGATATACGGATCTTTAAATCAACTAGTAAGAAAAATCAATTTATTTTATTTAATTTTAATAAATTCTGCTCGCTATATTTGAATACATTTTAATTGAGAATCTAATTTTGTTTTCCTATTCAAATTTTTACACAGATAATTACCTGGAAGCCAAAAATTTGGAAAAACAGGCCACCACGTCATCGGACCTTGACACAACTGACGCTGAAGACGACCAACTTTTTGGAAAGGGTACGGGTCTGGAAGCTTCCAGGAAAAGACAACGACGACCGTCATCGTCATCTGAAGAGGAAGAAGGCAGCCATTCTCAACTAAGTATCTCAACTAATTCGATAAATATTAGGGAAGAAGGTACGTATATTCTAATCCTAAATTGGAATTCTGTTAAATTCTCAATTATAAAAAATACCACCGACACCACCATAACATTGCCATATTTATTGTTTCAGATTTACTAGAATTTGACGGAAGTAAATACCAACTTGTCGTTGTCAATGACTCAGCAGGGTTAAATTCGCCAGCATCACAAGGTCAAATAGGTGCACATCAGTTAGCCGCAGGGTCAGAAAATCATCATTGGTCATCCCCCCCTCTCTCACAAGAAGATGTCCCGCCTCCTGTGAGAACTCAGGCCGGAAATGCAGAAATCGCTGCCACCCGTCTTCGTGGAGTGACGTTGGAGGATATTTATCTACGTCAAGTTGGTAAGAACGTTCTCTATCATGCCTGAATTTTAAATTCTAAAATAATTTTAAAGCTTTAAAATTTGTGTATAATTTATACTAGCACTGGAGCGAATGGTCGCGAATGGAATCTCAGATATTCGTCAAGATATTCGTACTCTGCTACTCCGGACTGCTGACACTAATTCATCTGAAGAAAATATTGTCGTTCTCCCCGTGAACCTCCCCCTAGAAAGTGAATCTGATGTTTTAGTTCTGGAGGATTGGCTAAAGGACAAAGATAATTGCTCGAAGCTCGTATGTTATTAATACATATTTATTATTTAAAACAATTTAGCAATTTTTATTCATCTAAATTAAGTTGTAAACAATTTTTGTACTCGTTTCTAGGTAGAAATTTTCAAGAAAAATGGAGGAAAATCAGCACTGAAAGTTGTTACCGGAATTTTAGCAAGTACCCTCAGTAAAAGCTTAGCAGAAAAAATTAATTATGTTGGCGCTAATGGAAAAACAGCATTTAACAGTTTAAAATTGAATCGTCTGGTTATTGGTAAATTCTTATTGAATAGATTAATAGCGGCTGTATTTATAAAGCTTTATGTTTTAATAATATACAATTTCTGTTTAATTAGATGCCACTCTGGCCAGTGAATTTGGGAAAAAATTGACAATATCGGACATCGTGGGAATTATCCAGCGCTGGTTAGGAAACGCAAGAGATTTGGATGGTGGCAGAACTTCCAGAAAAACAAAAAATGTCGTCGTACCGAACGAAGAGGAGGAGGGTTAACGAAGAAGCAAATATATTACTTCAAGAACTTAACGACAGTATTAGAGATATCGGAGTAGGTGAATCTAGTATTAATAGAAATTATGTTATTAATGTACAAGGTAGACAATGTCCACAGCAAAGTATTCGTGTAGATAGAAGGTTAGCTTCTGTGGAGGATATTAATATCTCAACATCTAAAGTTGGTATAGATCATGAAATTAGGGATTGGGCAATTAAGCACAATGTCACACACTCAGCTCTGTCAGACTTACTAAAAATCATCAAGCCTCATTTTCTTGACTCGAGTAGTTTGCCAATATGTTCAAAAACACTTTTAAAAACTCCTCGTAATATTTGTATCCAAACTCTAGCAGGTGGAAAGTTTTTCTATTTCGGGATAAAAAGTCAAATTCTAAAAATTATACCTGCAGGTTTTCCTTTTAGTCAGTTGACATTAACGATTGGTACAGATGGTTTCCCAATTTGCAAAAGTTCTGGAACTGATATGTGGCCTATTTTATTTAAGATTAATGAGATTAGTAATTCTAGACCAATAATTGCAGGCTTGTTTTGTGGTGAAAGAAAGCCTAGTAGCTTGGATGAATTTCTTAACCAATTTATTATAGAATTAACTGAATTAGAAACTAATGGAATATTAATGGGGACAACAAATTTTCCTGTCCGTGTTAAATGCATAATAGCCGACGCTCCTGCAAGAAGTTTTATTAAAGGAATTAAGCCTCACAATGGTCGGAGTAGTTGTGAGAGATGTGATGTCGAAGGCGAATGGGATGGGAAGAGAATAGTTTTTCCAATTTGTTCTGGTAGTAAGCGTACCGACTTAAGCTTCCGTTCCCAAATCGATGCCGACCATCATTTGCGCGAGTCACCCTTTCTTAAAACTAAAATCGATTTAGTGTCAGAGGTTGTTTTGGATTATATGCACTTAGTTTGCTTAGGTGTTACTAGAAAACTTTTATTGCTTTGGCTGAGTGGTCCCTTAAAAACTAGACTTCCGTCAGCAAAAATTAAAATAATCTCAGAATATTTTTCTAAAATTGCCAAGATTATTCCTTGCGAATTTTCAAGAAAACCTAGAGATTTAAAAGACATAAAAAGATTTAAAGCTACTGAATTCAGACAGTTTCTTTTATATGAAGGCCCCGCAGCTTTACGCAATATACTTCCCAGCAATCTTTATAACCACTTTCTCATATTTCACACTGCTATATATATTTTGCTCTCGTCTTCCGCAAATAATATTAATTGGAATAATACGGCAAGAGAGCTCATAGAATTATTTGTTAAAGATTTACAGAGATATTATGGGGGCTCTGTTATTGTTTATAATGTGCATTCATTGTTACATCTATCCGATGATGCATTAAAATTCGGAAAATTAGATAATGTTAGCGCTTTTGAGTTTGAAAGCTATTTACAGTTTTTGAAAAAATTAATTAGGGGTAACAATCGTCAGCTTGAGCAGGTTGTTAAACGGGTACAGGAATATGATAACTGTAGCTCAAGTCATTATTCTACAATTAAATCTAAGCACAAAATAAATGTGCCAAAGAAGAATGGTGAATTTAAAAAGTTTGAACTTGACAAATTTTGTATTAGAATAAAGGATGGTGATAATCACTTTGTTACTGAAGATGGTCGTTTTGTTAAAGTAGATAAAATATTTGTAGTTGATAATAAGCCAGTTGTAAATTGTAAAGTTTATCTTAATTGTACTGATGTTAAGGGATATCCAATTCGTAGTTCTTTGCTGGGAATTTGTTTTTTAAATTCTCAATTTACATCATCTTGTGAAATTGATATTTATAAGTTAACTAAAAAATGTATTGTAATTCCAGGTGATAGTGTAGATAAATTTATGTTATATTGTATTCCCATGCTTTAACGTCAAATTTATAAAATAAAAATACTTAAAAAGTAAAAGTAAAAAATTGCCTTCCATTTTTATTGCATAAAATTTTAATAAATACCGAATATATATGGTCGGAAATGTTTATTTTTTGTAAATATTATGGACCGGAAAATACGCACATAATATGTAACTTTTATGGAATTGACTCCGGTAAATAATACTTGGATAAAAGGTGCGTAAAAGGTATGTTTTTTCATACGTATTTTGTTTTGGAACCTCTGCCATCCTCTTACAGAAACCAGCATATATTATGGACGATTTCCCGAACATATTATTTAAGTAATATCCAAAATTTTCTTACTGGGCAATCTCATGCATGTACATACTGTACATTAACACATTAGCACCTTAAAATTAAAGTTATTAGCAAACACGTTGATTTGGACACCCTACTCATTGGGAAGGTAAACTGACCTATCTAATGTCAAAATAATCTTACGCATCTTGCATGCACAACGCCTTCTCCATCAGAAGTTCTCTTGTAATTAAAACGCTATTGTTTTACATGTTCACATTCTTATGTATGTATGCATGCATGCAAGTACATAGACATGTCTAACTTCACCTTGCAAGGTAAAGGTAATGAGGAAGTATATAAGTTTTGCTACAGGGCAAATTCTGCATAAAATATGCATGTACATATGCACACACGTGTACAAGTAATCATTACACTGGGACTCGTTTTGCGACCAGTGGAAAAAGTGATTTATTTAAATTGTACATAGTTTGTAAAATTGTTTTTCTGAGGTTTAGATTACCAACAATTTAAAAGCTTAACAACTTCAAACGGTTAGCCATAGTGCTCATTAAACCAGTCATGCACTTCTTCATTTTGCTGGGATTTATAATTGTGAGGTTTGCACAGCGTATCTTTCGATCTATGAATTTTTTAAGCTTGTTTGCTCTTAAATATTTAAATTGTAGGCGACGGGGTTCGCATTTTGGCCGCAGGACTTAAGTTCCCGGTTTGATTTCTATACGAAACTTGACCAAAGGCGGGCCAAGGATGGAAGACCGGGATGGTTCATCGGGGTCAAGGAGGGCACTGGAATACCGTATTTTGAACGGGACTACCAAAATCATAAGGGGCAGAGTTACCAGCCGGCGTATCAGCCCCCACCATCCGGACAATCGTACCCAGTAAATTGAGCAGTCAAATGTAACACAGGTGTCGATAAGATATGGCTATGGTCAAAACTGAAATAAAAAATATTCGATATGTATTTATTCAACAAGAAAATTGATAACTTATGTAAGTAAATGCATTTAACCTTCGTAGTTCTGTATCGATAATGTTAAATTAACTGCATGAAATTTCGTCCAATAATAATTGCATGTGATTTATTACTGTTCAAAAGAAACTGTATTTTTACTTTTCCTGATTGGAAGATGAATCTTGGCCTTAATTCGTGTAGGAATTTAAGCATAGTTTAATAATGTACATTGAATTTATTTTCTTTCGAAAAGTACTACACTTTGAGAGATACTAATTCATAAATCGGGGGAAATAGGACTCATGTTAGTGCATATGTAAGTAAGTTTTTGAATAGATAAAAATTTCAAATTTCCAATGTAAATTTCCCCCTTGAAATTGTGAGTGCAATTGAGTTACCATAAGTAAATTAGCATATGAATATATCATAAGGATTTTCATTATTACGACCTCTGGATCTTGAAAATAGTTTATTGCATTGTGTATAATTTATCTGACTTTCGTAACTTTATGGTCGATTATATAATCAGTCGTTTAAGTACATAAATGTATCTAGTTACTTTAAGTACACAATTCTGAAGACATGCAGGAAATATCATGGTCATGAAGTAAAATATATGACCCATTTCATCTTTATTGAGAATTATCGACCCCTAGTATGTAATCACATATTTATCCAGCTTGATGTCATTTCTTACGCTGGATGAGAGTGGTACTCAAATATGTTTATTGTCTTTGACAACTCACAAAAATGATTTTGTACGTGTTTTCTTCAGAAGGGGCTCCATTAATGTTTCAATACGATTTCCAAATCGATTCTAAATAAATATGTTCGCTTTACATATTTCCATATCTAGGTTTCAAATACACTGCAAAGGCCGAGAAAAACTACCACTACCATTTCACGAAGCTGTGACTGGCACATGTATTTATGTACATACTCATCCTCAGAAAAACTATATATATAAGTTACCCACATACACATGCCGTCAAACCGTTAGGTTGATATATGCAACCGTTGAATTATTCACCAGTTACTCCTAATTCATAATTTATAAAATTACCCCATCAAGGAATCAGTCATAAGTTGATGGGCTAAATAAGAAAAAAACAACTCGTAGGCATTAAAAATCTTTTTACAGACTAAATTTAGCAACCCATTGCATACATACGTATATATGTACGCAGCCCCTATGAGACACATGCATAAGTACATATATAAATTTTAGCTTCAACATCACCTGGAAATCAAGCAGGATGAATTGAGTGACAAAAATATAAGTTTGTTGTGGTTATCACCACGGCCGACAGATTCTGGTACATATGTCAAAGTATCTTGTCCTAGACATGCCCTGCCAATCAATATCGAAATGACTCCCCATAATAGGACATCATTGTCATTCAAAGTGTTTGAAAAGTATACACACGTCAGGTCTGGTATTTCATAGTGCGATATGGATTTGCATAATTAGTGTCAAAACTTGAATTTGAACTGATATATAATCACACATTTCAAAATGGTAGTCACTCCGTTAATGTGGAAGTCTCTGGAAAAGACGGCACCCTTTGATATCCAACTCTGGCTGTGTCCCATCGTGTGGGACGCTTCCCAACAAAAACTCTTGTATCATCCATTCTCCAGAAAACTTTTGCTTTGGGCGTGTTCCCAAATTTTAGGTATACTTGCCATCCTCGTGTGTGCTCTTTCAATCGGTCTGCACTTTTTGGGGATTGCCAAAGTACCGTTTATGAATTTGAGTACCACAATTGTCAACATGCTCTTCTTCATGATTGGGATCTTTGGAGAATTTGTCTGTTTGTTCTCTTGCAAAGAAATACTCGTAGGTTTTGATTGGTTGGTTGCGTTGGACAAAAAATTACGGAAAGGTTGGATTTTACTGATTCTATTTAAGATAATTATTTGAAATTTTCTTACATATTTTTTCTCTGATTCCAGTCAATGTTTTATGGACGGAAAAACGACATCGATCACCACAGCTGGACTTACTAGGAATATATCTCAATATTTTGATAAATTACTGCATAATATTTCCATACATCGCTGTCCCTCTGGAAATCTACTTTCAAATTGATCCCCTCGGTCAATTGGAATCTCAAATACTTACAAATTCTAACCCACTTTTCGCCCAATTAATCATCTTGATCTCTCGAATCCTCACCGTCGTCGCTGGTATACAGACGAGTCGCTTAATAGCGAAAATGGTTAGCATTTGCACCATCTTGACCCAGCTGATTCTCGATTGCATTACGAACTTGGGGAAAATGACGACCCGCTTAGTTCAAACTTGGATACGAACAAATCCCGTTCTTCGAGAGTACACTTGCCTGGAAATAATTCTGTTCGAATTTTTAGAAATAGCCAGCAACGTAATTTTTTTATTAATGGGTCAGGGAATCTTGTTGCTCGTAATGTTCAATTTCATCACGTTGAAATTATATGGTCACGTGCCGAGTGCGCTGTACCCTGCAGCGCCATCTGTATCAATTTTACTCCCGATTGTGATTCAGACTCTGTTGCAGATGCTTATCGACGTTTTCGAGGACGCGAGCAGGTTGAAGAATCGATGGGACAAAGAGCTCGGTGACTTCGGTGGGGTCAAGTATTTGAAGAGAAGGTTACGAGCAGTTCGAATTTTAAGGTGGTACGCAGGTATTTTTAGTTTTAAATTGTACGACTTAAAGCAGCAAGTTAAACCGATTTATTACTATACGATTGTCAACTATACTATTACAGCACTGCTATCAATTGAGCTACCACGAAATGTAAAATAGTTTTCAGATTGAATAAACTGTCAACTGTGAAGAATGAATATTGTAGTAAAGTAGCTTCAGTTACACCCCTACATCCCTCATCTTCCGCGGAAGACTACAAATTATGAGTAGGTTTTTCGGTCGTCTTGAATTATTCAAGTTGAATATTATTCTCTTTAGCACACTGCCCAAATTGCTTCAGTACCTCTTGAAAACATTGGTAGTATTTTTCGATTTAGCCACAAATTCGAAAAACCCTTCAAAAATGGCCCCCAAAAATGTGTCTATGATGACCGAGGTCGGAGCACCCATTCAGTTTTGAATTGAAAGGCTATTGATTGATAGGCCATCATATACAAAGCAATTGAATAGCTTGGCTACTTTTTACTATCGTTTTAACAACTGGACTGTATATATAGCCCGTAAAATGGATTTGGCGTTCAAAACCAACTAAAACTATATCCGGCAATTTTGTTTAGAAATTTATATTTTAAATATGTGCCCGATTCCATGCCAAGTAAAGGTAGCGCAGTCCAGCCTCCCATATTTTAATAGACTTGAAATTTGTTCCTCGATTTTTAAAGGGAATTTTCTTTAAAAAAAATGGATGTCATGTCATATATATTATTTGTCATATTTATTTGTACGCGTTCCCGTTGATTACTTAAAGTTTAGAAATCTGGTATCTCATTAGGGTATCTCAATGATCCCCAAACACCCGCATTCGTAGTCAACAGGTAAAATATGCTTCGAGTTTTACCACGCATCATCACACGGAAAAACTTTAGTATAACGGCTTATCGATATGGGGTCGTGTGATACGTCAAATTGTTCAGTTCGACGAGCTGAACAAGAATATCAAAGCCCGACAGCGCGGAAACACTTCATTCAAAAGTTATGGCGGGGCAAAGTTTGAAATTTTTATTGCATTTTTGGACGATTCAGAGAATTCTAAGACTTTGTCTCACTTTCCCCCAAAGCTGAAAATTTTTTGGGGTGAAATGAGATTTGCGCTTTTTGGCGGGCCGTGGCTACCACTTCTAGGTAGTACTGCTAGCTAGCTTTTCTAGGTAGCACTGCTAGCTAGCTTTTCTAGGTAGCACTGCTAGCTAGCTTTTCTAGGTAGCACTGCTAGCTAGCTTTTCTAGGTAGCACTGCTAGCTAGCTTTTCTAGGTAGCACTGCTAGCTAGCTTTTCTAGGTAGCACTGCTAGCTAGCTTTTCTAGGTAGCACTGCTAGCTAGCTTTTCTAGGTAGCACTGCTAGCTAGCTTTTCTAGGTAGCACTGCTAGCTAGCTTTTCTAGGTAGCACTGCTAGCTAGCTTTTCTAGGTAGCACTGCTAGCTAGCTTTTCTAGGTAGCTCTCCTAGCTAGGGGGCTAGATAAACATTCCACGCTTTCCGCGTACCTAGTTTACCTAACCTAACCTGCTCGCTTCGCTCGCTAAAATACGAACAATACCCCAATATGGGGCATAATCTCATCTCACCCCAAAATCTCAAAAAACCCCAAAATTCTCAAATAGCCCCAACCCCCTCCCGCCTCGTGGCATAATGATTTAAATTCAATGTTCTACAATAAAAACTAAAAATCTCATCGTACCCCCAAAATCTCATTTCACCCCAAAAAATTTCCCGCTTTGGGGGAAAGTGAGACAAAGTCTTAGAATTCTCTGAATCGTCCAAAAATGCAATAAAAATTTCAAACTTTGCCCCGCCATAACTTTTGAATGAAGCGTTTCCGCGCTGTCGGGCTTTGATATTCTTGTTCAGCTCGTCGAACTGAACAATTTGACGTATCACACGACCCCATATCGATAAGCCGTTATACTAAAGTGTAGCCCATCACAGTTTTTGGCTGTTATCCTCCTATTAATTAACGACTAAGCAAATTATCTTCAGGTAATTTTTAATCATTTAAATAAATGTAGCGTTATTCATTGGTATTTTGACCTTACCTTACAGAAATGGTATTTTTTAATTAGATCATCAGGGGCCGTCCATAAATTACGTAACGCAAGAGGGGGGGAGGGGGGGTCATGGGAAGAGCGTTACGAATTGTTATGTAGGGGGAGGGGGTATAACAAATTTGTTACGTAACAGGTTTCAGTGTACGCATGTAAATACGTTTTTCATTATGGTGCTCACATTAAAAGAAGAGCAAAATTCTTGCCTACTTGTAAACCATCATTCCTCCACAGAGACCTCGGAGGGCGATGGTGTGACGTAAGTTTCACGAT